CCCCCAAAATTAAATTTTTAAAGTTTATCTATATAACATACTTCAACGAAAATAACCTGGAAAAAAAGTTACGAGGGGTGGTAAAATTATATTTCCGAATAACTCTAAAGTTCACAGATTTTTTATTATGTTGACCATTTAAAAGTTTACGAAATTTCCTGAAATATTTTTTTTTTTTATTGACGAAATTTACAACTGTAATTAATAATAAATACATCAAGTAATTATGAATAAGTAATATGATATGTACAACATGAGGAGAAACTACCCATTGGTAGCACTTCAATTATATTTCTATATTAGAAGGTCCCGAGGCGATCTTCTTTTCAGACGCCTCGGAGGGTTATCAGGAATAGAAGAGGAAGCAAGGTTGGAAACGAGAGGGTTCGGATGGTTCAGAAGTTTATTATGAAAGGACAGGTATCTGGATTGAGCTAAATCGGAAACATATGGTATATTAAGGTCATTATGAATGATTTTATTTGTGACAAAGTAGGGAGCATTAAGGATTATACGAAGGATTTTGGATTGTAGGGATTGGATACGAGCGGAATTTAATGGTTTAGTATAGCCCCAAAGCTCGATCCCGTAAGTTCAAATAGGCCTTATAGTAATATATATGAGTCTTTTGTAAATAGTTGGCAGTTTAGTCAACTAGTGAAGTCGGGGTTAGAATACTCAGCGGTGATTGGCGGATCAACCAGCCAATCACAGCAGCCCGCTCACCCCCATCACCATGACTTCCCCCAGAGTTCTCCCCACCCGTCTGCCACACCATTAGAAGCAGCCCAGCCGTCTAAAAAGAATGAACAATCAACGCTCATCAGGCTCGTCGAAGGAATGCTCCAGAGGTTAGACCAGATGATGGGCTTCATCACAACCCTCCTTAATACCGTGCTGAGCCAACAAAAACATGATTGAGCACCTAGTTTGCACCTACAATATCAGAGGCCTCGCACAGAAGCAGGCTGAAGTAGAGCTTTTCCTGCAGCAACACAGACCATCGGTGATGGCGCTGACTGATACATTGATGCCCCCCTCGTCTCGACTATACTTCCATGGGTACACTGTATACCGGGAGGTTTGCTCACGCGGGTCGACAGAAGGCGTTGCTATACTGGTCAGAAGAGATGTCCCTTCGAAGATCATCACGAACCCAGTGGAACCTACTGAGGGAACTCACATAGTCACAGTAGACGTGCGATTTAAACATCGGTACAGGTTCACCTGTGTCTATAGGAGACCGAGGGCGGTTCTCACGTCAGTGAAATTACTACTACAACACGCCCAGGCAAGAAGTCGGTATATTGTCCTTGGGGACTTAAATGCTCGACACACCTCCTGGCTGTGTGGTAGTAACAACCCATTGGGCACGTACATCACAAAGACCAGGCTCGCCGTCTTCCACCCGGGTGTTCACACCTTCAGGCATGCAGCCCGACCTGAGTGGACCTCTACGCTAGATCTGCTACTCACCAGGGATCTGCACACCATCACGGATTGCCACGCACTACCGTATGGACCCTCAGATCACCGGCCGGTGCTATACACATTTGAGGGCACACCCGCCACTCCACCCGCGAGCAAATATCTGCTTCATAAAGCCGATTGGAAGAGATACAGATCTTTCGTTGAGGAAACACTACCAGCAGTTACACCATGCAGAACCCGAGATGAGGTGGATAATGCTGTAAATGTCATCACCACCACCATCCAAGCCTCAGCCAAACGGAACATTCCCAAGTTTGCTCCACAGCCCAACGCCATCAGAAGACCTCCACGGCACATCCTAGTTCTGATCAGACAGCGAAACAACCTAAGGAACGTTTTCCAACGCACTCGTAACTACAGCTTAAAACCGGCCATCAATGCGATGACCCGGCAGATAGCAAGACTCATGAGCGACTGGAAAACATCACTCTGGCACGAGCAGTTACGAAGGACTCATGACGATTACCGTCAGTTCTGGCGACTTGTCAGAACCTTCGTTAGTAAGAAAAGAAGCGTGCATCTGACATCAGGAGACGCGCTACTAACAACTGGGGAACAGGCTGAACACCTGGCGAAAAGTTATGCAGCAAGGGATGCTGATCGAACTAGAAGCTCCCCACCGGTGCAGCAGAGATCATCACCTGGACTCACTGAGAAGCCCATATTCTGCAATTTTAACCAGCTTGAGTCTGTACTACGACGTATCAATGGAAACAAGGCGTCGGGACATGATGATATCCCGTATGTTCTACTGAAGATGCTCCCAAGGAAGGGTAAAGCCTTCCTTCTGAACATCTTTAATTCATGCTTGCGGATATCTTACTTCCCTACAGTCTGGAAACATGCCATCGTAGTGCCACTACTGAAGCCGGGGAAGAAAGGAGACATGACTGACCACTATCGCCCGATCAGCCTCCTCCCGCACGTCAGCAAAGTCTTTGAGCGATTGATTCATTATCATCTCCTGAGTCACTGCAAGGAAGAGCACGTTATACCACCAGAGCAAACCGGTTTCCAACGCGGAGTCGCCTGTGAACATCATCTGGCTAAACTTCAGGCAAACACCATAGAGCAGATGAATCACAACAAAGCTACGGCACTCATCTCGTTGGACTGCAGCCAGGCCTTTGACTGCGTGTCTCACGCGCTGTTACTTCGAAGACTGGAAGAGTACAAATTCCCAGCCCCGCTATGCCGTCTGGTCAGAAGCTACCTCAGTGGAAGAACTTTCGTCGTAAGAGTTGGTAATGACTATTCGAACCCAGTCGAAACAACGTGTGGAGTACCTCAAGGGTCTGTGTTGGGGCCATTTCTGTTCGTCGTTTTCACGGCGCCAGTAGTGGCACTTAAACATCCAGAAGCGGTGGTAGCAGCCTATGCTGACGATATCGCAGTCTATGCATCCAGCCTTAACGCAGAGAGAGCTCTCATGAAAGCACAGAATGCCACAGATACCATCGTCAAGGAGCTTGAGAAGAACGGCATACAGGTAAATCCTAATAAGACCGATGCCATAGTGATGTCATTTCAGCAAGGAAAGAAGCCCCTGCCCACTCACTTCACCATTGGTGGAGTGGACCAGCGGATCTCCAACTCAGTCCTCTACCTAGGCGTGACTCTGGATAGGCACCTCACCTTTACTAGTCACGTCAACCAGAGGCTCAAGCTGGCTCGGAAAAAGGAGTATAGGCTCTACCATCTGCTAAAGTCGCCGCAGCTCTCGTTGAGACTAAAACTGCAAATCTACAAGGCGGTCATCAGGCCTACGCTGCTCTATGGTGCACCGTTGCTCCGCCACCTGTATAAGTCCACGCTCAAGAAACTCCAGAGTTATCAAAACTCCATCCTTCGGCGAATAGTCAGAGGTACCACCCTGCAAAGGGCAAAGAATGTAAAGATCCGAGAGGAGCTTCAGCTCCCATCGGTGCCTGAGTTCATAGGCCGAAGACACGTCAAATTTTTCGATGGGCTGAAGGTCTGTGCTAACCCGCTTTTCCAGGAAATAGTACCGCCGTCCAGGCCTGGGAGGTGGCAAGGTAAAGTCCCCTTGGTTGATGTTCTCGCCGAGGGAAGGGGTTTGGACTCAGTAGTTCACACCCACTAACAATAATATAAATACTAAATTAATGCAGGGCGGTCCCTCCACGCCCAGTGGTATAATAAAAGGCCTTTGGCCACAGATGCAAAGAACGCATACAGCGTGCAGAGCCCTCTTAACTTAAAATGCCCTTGGGCAATAAAAGGAAAGTTGAAAATTTATGTATATATACATTTATATACATACTGAATTTATTCAAGAAATTCCTGGGGGGTAGGAAAAAAAAAAAAAAAAAAAAATAGTTGGCAGTTTAGAGCGTTTGTCTCCTAAAATATAAAAAAATGTTGTTGAAATTTTACAATTTGGTGCCAAAATATGTTTGTTAAATATTTTTCGTATTTTCTGGTGCAATAGTCGGTGGTAATTATTCCCTTATGGTAATAGTCCCTTTTTATCGAATTATTAACATCCGCCTGAAACTTCGTAAATAGTTTCATCTCATCGTAACCTACAACTATTTTATTTACGAAAACTGTTGGAATCGGGACATTTTCAATTAGGAGGGAGACAAACTTTGTCTATTAATTAGGTACTAAAACTCGTAAATAGCCATTTGCTTTTTACTTAGATCATAGGATAATTTGTTCACAAAATCGATAAAAAAAAAAGGCGGTCTACAAAAATATTGAGCCGTTTGTCCTATATAACCTCTTTATTTTGTAAATAAGAGGGTATAGGTCACGCTAAACGGCTCAATTGAAGGCCACCCTTTTTCTAGATTTTGTGATTAAATTATCTTACGATCGAAGTAGAAAACAAATGGGTATTTACGAGGTTTTAGTACCCAATTGAATACAAATACAAGGGGACAAAGTTCGCCTCCCCTTCAGATTGAGAAAGCTCCAATTCCAACAGTTTCGTAAATAAAATAGTTGTAGGTTACGATGAGATGAAACTATTTATGAAGTTTCAGGTGGATGTTAATAATCCGTCGGTACCACGGACTGCAAAGCTTATTTCCTTTGTTTTGTTTTTAATGCCCTGGAAGTGTTACATGAACTGAAACAATGTATTTTATTTTTCTTAGAAAATTAGAAATGATGCTTTTCTGGGGGTCTATCGCTCCCCACCCCAACTATAATGGAAAGTCTGCGCCTGTAAATGCATGTACAGAAGATATAGCTTCTTATGCTTGCCAAACTGAATGAAGTGAGACCTAAACTTTTCTTGGCTTTATAAAAATAAAAAAATTGTGGTTGGAAGGGACATCCGAAGTCCAAATCAGGGGATTGTATGGCGATTCTGGTCTAGTACCATATGGTCGCAAATCATTCTACACTTTCAATGTCTACTACCATATTTCATACTCTTTTGAGGATCTGTATTTATATATTATTTATTTTCTACAAAAGTCATATAATTTAATTTTTTTTATATATTATTTGATGTTTAATTATCATTTCTTTTTCAGGAAACTGGGGATATTTCAGACAAGGATTTTGTCAAGTTGGATTCGGAGTTTTAATTTCCAGGGTAAGTACCTATTTCCTTCTTTTATTCAATTATAAATAATAATTTCTGAATTATTTCATGCTTAAGTTGAGCGAATATCTTTGAGAAGCTTGTACATCCTGAAGGTCATAAGTCAGCTTTTGGATCACTTAGATACATTGTCAATCCAAGCCTTTTCTTTTAGTACGACGATCTAATATTATAGTGTGATGACAGTATCCTAATAAAAAATAATTAATCAAATTGTTTAATTAATCAGAAATATGATATCGAACGCTTAATTCTATTCTTTCTTAATCCGTTTGCTGGATATTTTTCCGAAGCAAATAATGCTGTTGATTTTTGTACCGAAGGAAGGTACATCCCTTTCTCAAATGCTCCATAGCACATACAGGTGATAATTAATAATTATCTTGATAATTACTTTGCTCAATAGTGAGATATGTTTTACAAGAAATCAATTTCTGGGTGCCATATTTTAATAACGTTCAACTCAAAAGTATGAAATTGAGCTTAGAATAATCTCTACAAACATTACAGATATAAATATACATCTACGAATTACTAACCCGGTTCCTGAAGACAGATAGGTAGCTGGCTACGACACTCGGGTCTATTGGATGTTTGGACAGGCCCTTGTCGTTTCCTCCTGAACTAAATCCCCTGACCACTTGAATTATTTAAATATCCCCCGCGGCTGTGGGGCACAGGTCATGTCCGCATTGACAATTAATTGACCGAATGTCTGTTCTCCAGCCACTGGAGGAGATAGCATCGCTAATAAGTCTTCTGTTCCAGACTCATCAAGATCGACCGACTCCCGTGTTCCTCCCACTGGGATCCGCTCCCGCATCTGGATCAGGCCTCAGATAATTTTTTATTCTATAGTTTCTTTTGATGTCATTACTCATTATTCCATTGCCGTTTAGGCCATGTAGGCTTTCTTATCGCTGCTCATAATACTTTTTCATAACACTGTTCGTTTGGAATGATTCGTGTACGTTTTGAATGTAATAAATAGCTTTTTAAACAGTATTTTTTTTTTTAAATTAAACTGAGGTTGTCAAAATTAATCCTCACATGATATAACTGAAACGAAGTGATGATTTCCTCTTCTGTTTTTTCTATCGACTGTATCCGCGTGTTTTTGAAACACCATGTATCATCATTGAACATTAGTATATTATTGGTCTATAAAAACTTAGGGAAAATACAATATTCAAAGATGAAATATCACAAATACAATTAATCATCTTGATCGATTTTTTCGGGTATGTTTGTTATGATTTTCTATGAGTGACTAGGCGAAATATAAATTAAATAATTTTGGACTGTATTTGGTTGACTGTCAAGTTTTATTGTAACTCAAAAAGAAAAAAATAATTACTTTTTTATGAAACTTCTTTCTCGATACCACTCCTTCACATATTTCACCGAATTTTTATTAATAAAACTAAGTATGGGAGCATTTAATCTGTAAAAATATGGCACTAGTCATTTATTTTTTCATGATCTGAACTAGCTCAACAAGATTTTTACCATGGGAATGACCGAGTCCACACGCATAAAAAAAAATTAGTTAATTTTTTAGTTACAGAATTTTTGTTTACAGGTTTGATTTGTTTGTTAACTATTTTCCTTAAAAACTATTACACTATGTTCCGAAATTATTTTTAAGACAATCAGACTATTTAAAATTGAAATATTTGTTTAAAAAATAGTTCTAGAAAGATATTTGGCGTTTTAAAGCTCTTAGTTAAGATATTTCATTATTAAAATTCATTTATTTGGCATTTTGAAATATATAAGTAAAGCTACCAAGAAAAAAAAATAATCAAATGATCATTGAAGTTATAAACACAGACACGAGCAAGCGCACACTCACTATTTCTCACCTCTCTAACTAAAAAAAAAATAATTAGTTAATTTTCCTAGTTACAGAATTTTTGTTTACAGTTTTAATTTTTTTGGTAACTTTTTTTCTTCACTAACTATTACACTATGTTCCAAAATTATTTTTAAGACAATCAGAATATTTAAAATTTAAATATTTGTTAAAAAAAAAATAGTTCTAGAATGATATATGGCGTTTTAAAGCTTTTAATTAAAACATTCCATTATTAAAATTCATTTATTCGGCATTTTGAAATATATATAAGTAAAGCAATCACGAAAAAAATATGCTAAAAATAATCAAATGATCCTTGAAGTTATAAACACAGACACGAGCAAGTGTGCATATGCACGCACACACACACACATTATATCTCATCAATAATTTAACTCATCATGATGGTTGTACATTTAATTAATTAATCGAAAAGGAGATGGTTGGTCGATGGTTACAAAATAGTGTAAACATATTAAACTTATAAATTAGTTTCTACTGTTTTACATGTTCTTGTTGGCTGCTGTCTGGACCATTCCTTCTCGATTTTCCATATGGTCTAACATCGTTACATAGTAAGTAATTAATTAAAACTTTTTTAGCGTATAAATGTCACATGGGGGTTTGCCTTCCGAGAAATTTGCCTAATGAATACTCTATAAATCCACAGTAGAATATAAATCTCTGAAAGATTTACTTATGTCTTGAGGCAGTCAGCCTCACTGTGAGAGTCATGGCGTGTAAAAGGTAAGGAGAAGTGAGATCGTTAAAGGCTCATTTGGCATAGAAAAGGCCTTAGAGCAAATATTGATTTTTCCATTTAGTGGCGAAGAGGTAGGTAGCCATTACGATGCGTGGGTTCGGAATAAATCAGTTTTTAGTGTCTGTCTCATTACAGGCCGGGTTCCGCTCAGTCATTGCCGCTGAGAGGTCGGATCTTGTCTTGATTTACTCCCTGCTAACTGTCCAACATCCCAATCCTTATGCAAACCTCCCTTTTCACATTACGTACAAACTCTCCTTCCCACTCTAATATCCCCCTTGGACAACGTTGAACTCCGCTTGAATCGAATCGTGAATAATGCGGTACTGTTAATTTCCTCGTTTAGATCTTTACAGCAACTCGACCGTAACCTCTAAATCAAACTAATGAAGTCGTAAATTTCTTTTCCATTATTTAAACAGATGTAAGAACCTGTAGCGATTCTTTTAACAACCTATTTTAAATGTTTTAGAATTAACTTTAGAATCATATGAATCAGTGCATACTAATAGTAGAACTAGTTCTTTTTAAGTGTCAATTTTTATTCTTGAGAACTGACCTTTTATTTCTTCGTTCCAGTAGCTATATAGTCTTCTCGAGATACTGGCTGGGTACGTTTTATACTCTTTGGTATACATACTTTTTTTCTAAGTTCTTTTAGAATAGATTATGAGCAACCTAGAACGGTTGTAGTTTCGTGTCAATTCTGCACGATTTCTATTCAAAACTTCCTAATTATTTTCACTAGATTATTTTATTTACAGGACTTATTTCTAGAAACTTAATAGTAACTTAGTTCCACATTATTAAAAAATTTATGTTTAAAACAGCGTAAGCTGGTAATGATTCCCTCCTATGTAAAATTATCGTGTAGGATTGTACCGTAGTAGGATCGATGTGTTATATTTTCATGGAAGCCAAAAAAGAATTCATCGAAATCAAAGAATGCACTATTCTTTTTGGAGTTTGTAAAGCTATGATTATCTCTTGATGTTATTGTGCTTCTTAAAAACTATGAAAATAACTTTCCTAACCATCCATAAAAGGGCAATGGGTTCATTTTTAAATAAGGTTTTACTTTCTTTTTGAATACAAGTAAACAGATCTTTTAGAAATGGTACGTCAAATTTATTATTTTTTAATTTTATGTCATCATATATTATACATAGTTTACTTTAGAAACAAACCGGTATTCTACAAGCCATAAAGGTTCATGGGTTCAGTACTTTGTAAAGAAGTACAGTTTCTAGGGCAACGGTTATACAGGGAGATAATAAGTAGTTACTCAGATTTTTCCTCTTAATTAATCGTTGCTGCCCATTTGAAAGAGCCTGTATGAGCCCCAATAGGATCTCGCTATAGTTTATCCATGGCTCTTGCCGAAAGAAAATTACAATAATATTGCACGGCTACTAACTTGTGTTGAGTTGTTGAATCATACAGCATGCTCATCAGTCAACAGATAAAAAACCAAAACAAAAAAGAGTAAGGTGGAACCATCTTAATATATTGCATTCCCTCGCTGAATTCATCTCTATATTTTTCTTTTAAGTACGGTATGCATTTCGTATAAAGTTTCTCTTTCTCTTCCTGTGTCTTGAAGTATTCTTCTTGATCGTTCGTTCCTAATCTGATCGTGGGATCTACTAATATGGCCTCCTTTTTGGTTTCATTAACCGCTGAAATATCAACAATTCTTGTTGATCTTTCAATACTCTTCATTGTATCAATATGTTCATCACAGAGCTATCCCGTTCTCTCATTTATTTTAATAACTCGCTTATGAAAAATGATGGTAACCAATAAAATTTTAATAATTAATGTTCCCCAACATTGCTCTAAAAGATCTAGCGCTCACCTTTCGTATCATTTCTCTATTATGATCCATATGAGCGAACAAAGAAGTGATAAATAGCCGCTCAACTATTGAATTGAAATAACCCAATGGTCCGCCCCTGAATAGTGCTGCGAGAGAGGCTTTGAAAGGAGGAGGGCATTAAGGCCTATCTCATGCCAGAGTGGTTAATGGAGCTCTACTCCTGATTACCGATGTAATGTCTCCTCCCATGTCATGTCAAGCATTGCCCTCTATCGGCTTCGTGTCGGCTTCTTACAACATTCTAAATGCCATCCTTACGGCTGGTATATGTCTTCGAATCGCTCTACATTTGATGTTAACTTAGTTTTTAGATTATTTAACAAAACACCTTGGATATTATTTCAACTTTAAACTTTATAAATCCTCAATGCTACTTTTTTTTCACAAATAAAATTACCCTTAATAACCTACAATCAATATACATCAAATGCCATTACCACCATTGCACACTTGACCACCTCACCCCGTCCTGCATTTTTAACATTAAGTCA